TTGTGGCGTACAGCTAAACAAGCTCAATCCCAGAATGAGGTACAGGTACCTGTGTATGATTCCCAACCACCTTCCATATTTGTTGTTATTGCTAATATACCAATCAGACTTACTTCGCGACGTTTGCAATCAATTTGTGTTCGCTGAATATGGATTTTTTGATTCGATTCCAAATCAATCACAAATGTCGCAAATGACCAATATCCGATCATCAATGATGCCGATACAGGTTAACAAAAGTGTAGCGCAACCAATTGCAAAAGCAGCTATCATGTACATACAAACAGCTTCAGCTGAGCTCCAAAAAAGCAAAAAGTCAAAGCTGCAACTCTATTTCAACAACCAATTCTTCTCCTTTTTTTACATGTTTGTTTCCGATTTCTTCTATGGTTCCGACGTGTCATCAAGTCACGATTGTATCCACTGATCTATCTGAGAAATTGAGATCCATTACGCTTAGCGCAACCGGTTTACTGGCCACTTTTTAAGTTCTCGGATGCTGACTAGACCTCCCGATCAACAAGGTAGCTTTAACTAGCGGACCAACGGTATTCGATTTGAGAATCCAGCCGCACGGGAACCATCGTGAGTATCTCAACATTACCACTGGAGCGCAAGATTGGCAATGTAAGGAGTTGACTTGGGATGCTGTATCAGTCGACTTTGTTTGCTACCACTTGTCATAACACCTCAAAGCAACCGCGGTTTACGATTTGCATAATGTGAAAGCAAATGCAAGGATTGCTCACAAGCATGTTCGGGATATCTTCTCAGTTTGACTTGGGAGTGACAAAACCGGAGCGCCGTTTGATCAAACATTTCCATCAAGTACGATGTTTGCCACAACACTTTCTAGAGTAAGACTGCTCTGACTTCTCATCGTACTCGAAATCCTTTTGAAGATCTGTGGTGTTTTCGGTAACCATCTTCTTCATCATACTTCTCCAGAAGCAGTAATATACCAACATGGAAAGAAACGATATCCGAAGAGTCGAATCATATGTGAACGCTATATTGGACGAGCGGTTCTCAGAAACAAGCGATCCAACTCGCGACGCAGGAAATAAAGCCTACACAGCTGATCCCTATGTACTCCATGCATTGATCACTCAGGACTTGAACCAGGATCGCGATTGCAGCGCAGAGATGTCTCCTTGGCTTTTGCATTTTGCGGCGCAAAACCCACCCGCTGACGAAGATGTGGCTGCCATCGTTATCCTGTTTCTACGAACACTGCGCGAGAGGCCATTCAAGTTGGATGTATCTTACCTCCGCGACGTTCTCGTCCAGCATTACCACGTAAGGCTGTTGAAGGAGTGACTTCAATTACATATCACTGCTCTAGAAGACTGATCAATTCGCAGATGGACTTCCGGGTTGTGGGAAACCTTCAACATGACCTACAGTTCAAATTGCAATACCACAAACCACACTGTTTACACCAAGAGCCTCACCTCTCCAGTTCCCAAAGATTTAACGCCTTGAGTCCTTACAACTATGATATCACAGAAGCTAAGCTCCTTCGACAGTTTGACGTGTTGCTAGGACTGGCCGGCGCAATTCCCCAGCTCACTAACGCGTTTCACAGAGGTACTTACGATGGCCTCGATCCCCAGCAGTGGGGAATCAATCCGTGGAATAGTGCTAGCTTCCTAGCAGCTCAACAGTTCTGTCGTAATTCCCTCTTGGATCTCGTCAATATTTCGAATTCGGAACAATTCCCAAACTTGCCCGCGGTACCTATGCTACCCAAAGGTCTTTCCGTGGACGTCTACTACCAGCCACAGCGCAATAGGACTGCCACTCCAGATGCAAACACGCTGATAGCCACTCGATGGATGATTGAACATACACGATTCTGTATCATTGTCGCAGTGTGTCACATGCAAGCTAGAGTACTGTGCTGCGATACCATTGTGTTCCTACGATATAAAGCGGGCATTGAAATTGCGCAGCTCTCACTCAGTCTGCTCAAAGAATTCCTCAACGCACTTGACAAATATGCTCCAATTATGTTCAACGGCATCACTCACCCACACCTGGTAGAGCATCTCCGAGATCCAAAAGCTGATCCTTCAAAGTTATTACGCAAACTTACAAACGCTATGGATGCAATTCTGGCCCTCGTAGTGGACGTCCCGTTTCCGTTGGGCAGAAACAATCATCGCGTTTATAATCGTACAAGCATACTCCACGCGGTGGCTCTTACGCTTCAATTTGTCTCATTGGCCATCCAGTCTCACCTTCGAAAATGTGGTCCTCTCGAGTTCGTTTGTCTAGCAGAGCCGGTGCGAAAAGTCTGTTTGAAGGGTGTAGGCTTTTCAGATCCAAGAATCGTTGTTCCGGAGATATTTGCTGAGACTCGAGGAGAGTTTTTCGTCTTCGGTGTGCCGACAAGCCTTTCTGAGTCGGAAAGTTTGGAGTTGAACGACTTGGAGACTTTTAATCTGTGGAGGGAGGAGATGCAGTGTTCGTTTACAGTGTAATAATCGGCATGCTCATGGTTGTTAGGTAATGGAGTTGATGGGATCCCGTAAAGCAGTTCATAGAGGTACATACACGTCCTTTTATTAGCCGCAAGCACTCATCGAGATAGATTTTTGGAAGCAATAAAAAACGCGTCGCCAAGGGCCCTCGTACTCGCACTTGTGGCTATCAGACTTGCGGTTCCTCAGTTCGAATCTACGATGTGACTTCTCCACGTGGTGATCTTGCCAGTAAAATAAGCCGGCCAAGGTCGTTGATCTGACATGGGCATGATAGCAACCTTTTCAGAGGCCTGTGAGGTTGCAACACTTGGTAAACACGAGGTTGCCTATCATAACCCATTAATATTATTGATTCCAAAGCTTATATTAGGCAACTGGCCACTAACAAGGTCAACGTTGGACTGTCGTTGGTGGTTATAACTCGAGATAGGAGTGGTTGTGCTAAAAATAGACCTCACGAATCCCAACCAGGCGCCACTTGAATCATGATACGAGAACCGGTCAGTTTTAACTAGGCGTCGCGGTACTTGTAGGATTCAAATCCTCTTCTTGCCCTCTTTCCTTTATATCTCTGTTTACATCATTCGTTATACTTTTTGGATTGAGAAAGGTCAACAAGTCTCGGCGGCGTAACACATATCTTATGAAACCCTGAGACCGGTCGCTACTATGCACTACCAAGTCCTCAAATTCAAAGCAATCCTCTTCGCTGTTGGGTTCTTGACCTTTGCGATCCCCAAGGCTGTATCAGCGCACGAAGCCACCGACGCAATCATCGAGAGTGACTATGTTTCCGACTGCAGTAGTAGAGCCTTTGGACAGTCAAAGTCTTTCCACGTACCTGTCGACCGATGTCTCAACATACCCAGCTGGTATATGGAAATCAAAACCGTTGCGTTCTGCAAAAACGGCACGCGTGCGAAATGGGCACGTTTCCCCGAGAAAGGCTGCGGGCATGGCACTCTTGATGCAGACTTTGGGCTCGTTGATATAAAAGACAAGGACTTTCGTACTTGCCTCGATATACGGGAGTATGAAAGCATGGCATTTTGGTGCGAGGGTTACCAGAAGAGCACTCTGCCAGAGGAGAAGGATGACCATAGTGAAAAGGTGCCGGAGAATGAGGACAAATCGAAAGCTGGTAGTATCAGCGAAAGTGTCTGCATGCCCCAAAGAGCACCTACTTGGAAGCATCCAAAGGCGGATACGTGCGTTAATCTTACCTACAAAAGGCTCCAAATACATACGCCAGCTATCTGTGCAAACGGAACAGAGGCTACCTTTGCATTCTACGAAGGGGTTGGATGTCACGGTATGCCTTCAGAGTTCAAGACTGTGGAGGAGAGAGACGCAAGGCAGTGTTTGGACGTTGAGGGAATGAAGAGCTTTGCCTTTTACTGCACCGGAGAGGGCATCGAGCGCAATGATGGCCGACCAACTGGTGGAAATGGTAATGGTGGTGGCATTTTGCAGTTCTTGCTTGTACTCTTCCTTATCTTCATGGTTTTCTCCTTGATGCTGTTGCTCACAGTTTTCACCTGGGTTCGGAAGTATGGAGGTAGTGTTGGTAAAGTGTTTGACTTTTTCAAGGTAAGTGATTCTCCCTCGTGCTTGATGGAGACCAATGCTGATATTCAACTTCTAGAACCTCGTCAAACCGAAAGAAGGGAGCATTGCACTCTGAGCCGAGCCTGTAGATCAGCTGCAAAGATTGTTGGTGATTTGTATGGTTTCCCACTAGTCTTTCCCATGACATGCCGGCGTGCGTTATGATATACTGAGGCTTGGGATTTCAAATGATTAGACGAAACGAAATTGTTGTCATGGAGATCGGGATAAGTGCGACAGTAATCCTAATATCGGTATTTTGCTCTAGACTAAATCACTTTCAAACCAGTTCGGTTTCAATGGGTCTCCAAAGAGAAAAGGTTCTAAAATCAAGCCCACGGGCAGAAATCAGCACTTGAACAAACTAGTAACCTACCGACTCCTTGTCATGCCATTGTCTGATCTCTGGCATCACATTTCATAATAGTCAGGCAGAAGATAATCCCTCAGATCTGAGCTATTATTACCCGTTGTGTTCTGACGAAGTATTGTAGAGATCATTCTATGTCTGTATCTCTTCTTGATTGGAGATCTGTTTTTCTTTTCACGACATTTACATGTTTATGAATTATGTGCAATACATGACCCGAAGCCTAAAAATGAGTCAGGCATAGATTATAAAAGCTTCATCTTCCCAAACATGCGTGCCGCGGAATTGATACTTCTGCACTCATGTTGGAAAACCCAGTTATTGACCTCGTACACGGGACTTGCTGGCATGCGGGACTGTACTGATAGAAATGCCAGTTGATAAATGTACCTAGGTAGATACCTGAGATAGTTTAACATTGGAAGGAGAAGTTTGGTTCTGTTTTAGTTTGTTATATATTTACACGATTACGGTTAAGTTAACCAATAATCAGCTTGAATAGTCCACTTCGCTGGTGCGAAATATTGTTCACAGCTTGGTTAGCTCAGTTGGTTAGAGCGTTGCACTAATACACGACATATGTCCTGTTCATGCAAAGGTCACAGGTTCGACCCCTGTACTGAGCAGTTCTTTTTTTTTGTGCCGAGGGCCCTAGTAGTGAGATGGTACGAAAAGGTATTTTTTTCTCTAGTTCCGTAGATATGAAGCTTTGTTTAGGTTTGTTTAAGAGACCTACTAGTAGGACGAGGAATCTCTCAACAGTGTCAACCAGAGTACGTCCTTGATCTATCAGATCATTTCTTTTGGGTTCCTATGACCAGTATGTGGATTGACGCTTGGAAGAGTATTCTCAAGAGGAAGTACCTCATAGAATTTCTTTGTTTCTGCGGGTAGATATAGTCTGTATGAGCAGATCGTGTCGCGAATAGAGTGTAGAAGACGCGATCAAGCGTAAGTTTGATACTGGTCAGAAAGAAACTTGATGCGATTGAGCGATCATACACAACAATGAATGTATTGCACCGCGCATCTCGGGTGGTATCCAGCATCTAAGTTCGACTTAAGTTCGACTTGGTTGCGAGCGAACTGTTTTGCATTTGACAGGTCTCAATTTTGAATCTCGAGGCTTTCATTTGACGCGTAGTAATCGCCCAACACTTTTTTTTGCATAGTCGCTGCTCAAAAGAAGCGAGTAGAGACCGCACATCAACAAATACAATACTTTCAACAGATCGTCAATCGATCGTCAACGAAGGTTGTACCTCGCCATTTGCTCATCAGATCAAATTACAGTCATAGCGCAAGCAGTTTGCTCTAAGGTACCTCGAGTATTCCTTCAAGTGCTAATCCGACAATTTCCGGCATTACGGTCAAAAGCACGTTCACTTCGCTTATCATTCATGTGGTGAGATCTGCAAATTACAGTAGCTCAGAAGGTCATGTCCGATATCTGCCATTGCTCAAAACGATAGTCCTATCTATACTGTAGGCAGAGTTGAATCTTGAAAGGTAAATCGCGATTGATGCTGTGTGTCTTGTTGGTACTAAGTCAAAACTTATGCTCAAGCCCTATGGACAGAAGAAGAATTTGTATTCCAGGTGTATGGGACAGTACACCCTTTCTTTTGAGTAAGTAATAACCCAATGCAGGGGACAAGTGACCACATCGGGTTGAGAACAGACCCATTGTTTTGGATAATGATAAGACTGACAGCTTCCGATCCTGGGAATCTAAATCGTATCATATTTTTGGATTGAATCTGCTCCAACCGAGTAATCCGAACGTGACATTTGTCAAGGTTGATGGGTCTCATTGGGTCTGGTCCGCTGGACATTAATTAGAGTCCATATCTGATCTTGGTAACGACATGGGTACTTTGACAGCTAGGCTAGGAAACCTTTCAGCCTTACAATTTGGCGCAATAATGTTGTTTTCGACTATATCGGATAATTGCAACCCAGTAAGAAAGGGTTAAGTAAGAGATTTTGCTGACAATTAAAGACTTTTCCTGTTCTACCAACTATAACCATACATCTGATTCAAAGAATTTGGCGTAACAATGATATGATCTGCATAGTACCTGCTCACATGCTTTAGTGAATACATGCCGAGAGATAGAACTAAAGATGGATTCCTATATTGCGTGAAATATCACAGACCACATCCATCGGCCTCGCTTAAGAAGATGAGAGATCTTCCTTGATTTAGATATCTCAACCGAGCTTTCAATTGATGATCCATAAACCTCGAGATCTCGGTTCATTATACCCCTGGAATCCGTCAAAACAGCAATGATTCAATGCAGAAGAGTTATTATGTCCCTACAAGTCCCACGATATCATTATGATGAATGCTTGTTCGTAAATACACCATGAGGCTCACACCGTAAATTTTGCTGCTCAGTTGTTCTTTTGTCAAGAGATTCCCAGTCATGTTAATCACTTTCTGTCTTTGGTCATTTTTGTTGTACTCCTTTTCAGTCCAAGCAGCAGCGCAATGCAAATCGATACCAGGGAGCTCGGGATGGCCTTCACTAATGGACTGGAATGAATTCAATACAACAGTGAAAGGGAGGCTCTTAAAACCCGACCCTCCGGCAGCGACATGCCATGATGACTATGATTCTTACAGCTTGATACGATGTGCAGCTCTCAAAATCAAGTTCCTAGACTCAACATGGCATGCTGCTCATCCCACAAGTAATATGTGGCAGAATTACAATAATTATAGTTGTACTCCAACATCAGAGAGTTGCACAGGATCTGGTCTACCAATCTACGTCGTTGAAGCCCACGAACCCATGGATGTCAAAGCCGCAGTAGATTTTGCTCGCACAAAGAACATTCGACTAAACATCAAGAGTACTGGGCATGACTTTTTGGGGAGATCAGTCCAACCCAACTCTCTTTCTATTTGGACCCATCATTTGAAGACGACTCAGTGGCATGAAAAGTCATTCTCACCCAAAGGATGTGACCTTGTCATCGACGGACCTGCTGTCACTGCTGGATCAGGCAGTCAATGGGGAGAACTTAATGCTGAAGCCGATAAAAGGAAGTTAGCGCTTGTAAGCGGCGGCTTCAACTCTGTTAGCCTTGGGGGGTTTCTGTCCAACGGCGGCCATGGTGGATTGAGTGCTAAATATGGGTTCGGAGCAGATATGGTCTTGCAAATTGAGCTTGTGACACCTTCTGGAGAGATCATTACAGCCAATGAATGCCAAAATACTGTAAGATACCCTCAGAGTCTTGCCCAATATTTGTTCTGACACTCAAAAGGACTATTTTTGGGCCATGAGAGGCGGTGGTGGTTCTACCTACGGAGTCGCGCTGACTTATACACTTAAAGCCCTTCCAACGTTCCGCACTGCAATGTGGATTGGCTTTGCCTCTGGCTGGGATGAAATCGCTTATCTTCATTCGCAATGGCCGAAATTGGCAGCAGTCGGAGCCAGTGGCTACATGATGGGTTATCTTCCTCTCATCACTGCTGTGCCCTTCTATGTCACGCTACCAAACGCTACGATAAGACAGCTCAAATCTATACTAGACCCGATAACAGACAGTCTTGATGGCTGGGGCGTTGACGATCCACCAGCTGCCGGAAACTCATCGCGCTTATCAGGCCGCCGTGGCAACTACACCGAGTTTGATAGCTGGGGACAGGCGGAGCCTCACGTCCATAGTCGACAGGATAAGACGAATGATTCTACTCAAGGGCTCTATAAGCGCGCTCAAGAAGGAATAACAGATTACTTTCCAGGAATGGGATCCAACAAACTCCTAGTATCGTGGCTATACAGTGCTGCAGATGTTCAGCATCCCAATTTGAAAGAAGCACTCAAGGCTGCTCTTAGCGAGTCTGGGACCATTTATCTGAATGATGCCACCATGGGTGTTGGGACTCAAAATCCGCCATACCTACGCGGTGGAGGTAACGCAGTCAACCCTGCTCTTCGAACTGCTGTCATGAGGCCAGCGGCGGAGATGCAGTGGCTCGGAAATGATCCTGCTGTGTGGACCAAGAAGAGAGAAGTAGCTCAAAAGCTTGGAGCCTCATTACGATCAATCAGTCCCAATGGGGGAACTTATGCTAATGAAGTATGTTATTATGACTCTCTATTTACATTCTTTCCAGGGCTAACATCTTACAGGCCGATCCCGATACGCCAAACTGGCAACATGCATTCTGGGGTAGTAACTACGACCGGCTTCTTCGAATCAAGAAAATGGTCGACCCAGAAGGTGTATTTTACTGCAGGCGCTGCGTCGGAAGTGAATTTTTCGAGGATCATGATGGTATATTATGCCGGAAATGAGAATGGCTGTTTTTCCTCGTTGTGCAGATATACGGCCACTACAAGATATCGACCACTGAAACTATCGTGACCGAAACCCGTGCGACATTTCCTTATTCATCGGTTGATGAGCAAGTGATTACTTGAATGTTTAATGTTTATAGCTGCCGTTTCCGGTCATATACGCAAGCGGGCTGCATCATCTATCCAGCCTGCAAAACTATGACACAGATTCTTTCAATGACTCTAAATCACGATCGTGGTCATTACTAGCAGGCCGTGACCATGATCTTGTTCACTACATTTTGGCCTTGAAAGATACAAGAGGCCCGAAAGTTCCTGATCAGGCCTCTGCGGTAAAGTGCTTTGACCTAGGCTGCAACATGATATATGTAAGACAATCAGGAGTTGTAGTGGATGACATGTCGTTGAAGTGAGTAAAGAAGGTCTGATTTTGCAAGAGTGGTTCAGGCGGTGTCTTCAAATGCGGACAACTGGCTGACAGATTAAATGGCGCGCTCCATCGACTGTGATGGCGACCATATGCTGCGCTTCAGAACCGAGTTCTTTATTTGGTCCTCAATGCGTAAAACCGTCGATCTCCATCGAATGCGCTGGAGCTTATAGAGTGTGATGCCGTAGGTGGAAGTTATGAACCATCTTCTTTCAACGAAAATAGATGACGATCGCGGCTGGAGAGGTCGTAACAACGGCCTTGAATGACCAAAGACCCAGAACATGTCTTTTGAGGAAAGATCCAGGGCAAAAGGCTTTAAGATAGGCTGCAACGAGATATTTTTGTAGGAATTTTGAGAGTTGTGGAGGAGGACATGTCGTTGGAGTAATGGAAGAGTGGCTTAAGCAGTGGCTTAAATATGGAGTTAGCTCCGAACCATACTTGTCTTCTCTTCTCCACGGACTTTTGCTGTTATTGTCATCTCGTTAATCTCTTTTTCATCTCGAGAAATCATTGTCAAGCTCGATGGAGGGAAAACCTATCAATTAAGAGTGTAGTTGCATTCGCTTTGGTTATCACAGCAGGAGTAAAGGTTGCCCAGTGGTTGCTCTGAACGACTCTTCCACTCTGGAAGGCAGCAACGGCTCCTTTGAAGTCACTTGACGTGACATGAAGAACCCTCAAGCTCGAATCAAATTTCGTTGACTGAAACGAGTACTCCCAGATATACATCACCCACCGAAAATGGGTCAACAACTGTTTCTTCTGGACCTTCCAAAGGATATCCTGATCACACTGCCTGACTATCTCCATGACATTGAAGACTACAAGAACTTGACTTCAACCTGTCGAGCCTTTCGTGCTTGTCTCT